ATCGAGACAACGAGGGAGAGTGAGTGTGAGCGAGAGAGAGAGAGCGCGAAGGGAAGAGAGAGAAAGAGAAAGAAAGAAAGATCGAGACAACGAGGGAGAGTGAGTGTGAGCGAGAGAGAGAGAGCGCGAAGGGAAGAGAGAGAAAGAGAAAAAAAGAGAGAGAGCCCGAGGGGAAGAGAGAGAGAGAGAGCGCTAGGGGGAGAGAGAGAGAGAGAGAGAGAGAGAGAGAGAGAGAGCGCGAAGGGAAGAGAGAGAAAGAGAAAGAAAGAGAGAGAGCCCGAGGGGAAGAGAGAGAGAGAGAGCGCTAGGGGGAGAGAGAGAGAGAGAGAGAGAGCGAAGAGAGAGAGAGAGAGAGAGCGCAAGGCAGAGATGCCAACCACTACGATTTATCCGTATTTTATAGGAATTTCTATTCCTTTTGCACCACTACGACCAGTTTGTATGAAACTACGAATTTCACTGTAATTGGGAAAAAAAATTTTTGTCGATTTATTGTCATTTTTGACCCTCAGAATGCAGGAAATTGCATCTCAGAAGCAAAAAAAAATTCCGGGGTGGGGGCATGCCGGAGCGATTTTGTTGTCTATGCCTACCAAATTACCAATGGCTACATGTGCACGTTGACCTATGAGTATTTGGCAGATATAGCATATGCTCTGTTGTAATGTGGCAATACACAGCCGTAGTAAAGCAAAATAAGAATTATGAATATAGGGACAAGGGAAAATAGGGACGGGGGAACATAGAGTGGACCCCCTCCCAGGCGCCCGTCACCCCTAGCAGTCATAAGACATTACTTTGCGCTACAGTCATGAAACAATCGGGGTGGGGGCTCATCAATCGACACCGCCGCTCTCCACAACGCACGTTCATCGTACGTGCTAGCAGCAAGTGCGACACACGCTGGCTATCTGCAACACCCGCTGTTGATTACACATCTCCCCCTTCGTCGTTGTACCGCCTACACTATATTTAGATTCTAAACCGTTGACTTCGGTGTGCGCGTATCAGGGCCGCGAGTGCCTCTGACGTAATTTTGTTGGCTCCTCCTACCGAAGTGCATGTCGGGATAGTGAGCTCCTCATTTATCCACAATACACTTCACTGAGTCTAGAGTCTGAACGCATACACAGTCTCTTTAACACCTCATAATAATAATATTAACCTGTTGTCTTCAAAGTTGAAGATGGAGAGATACAAATACTATTTGAAATACTAAATAATTAGACTAAATACTAATGAAATAGACACATCAACAGACAACAGTGTCAACACTATATTATATTTACACTTTCAGTAGAAACTATATTATATATTACTCTTATAAATATTACAAATACCCCCAATACTTTTCTTGTGGTGTAATATGCATTTTGATCTTTGCTTCACTTCTACTCTTCTAGGCTGTCAAATTGTACTTACACATTTTGATGATGAAGAAATCAAAAGAAACACAGAAATTAAAAGTCAAGCTTGGACAAGGACAAGGTGACCAGCTGTCATACATGAAAGTACCCATCAAAAAGGCTAGTCGTAAGCCAAGCATATTCCTGAAAGCACAACCTGAAAATATTGCTGAAGAATATCCTGGTCTTGAAAATTGTGACGAGTGGACTGACCCTAGAGAGCGCCTCAAACCTGCTGACCAGCTCCAACTAAATGAAAATGAACTCAACGAGGAATTCACGAGGATTCTGACTGCTAATAATCCGAACGCACCGGAGAATGTCATCCGTTATAGTTTCAATGAACGCTGCTTTAAACAGGTAACGTACATCGAACAGATGGCCGTGCATTTTGCTGCTGACGGTTGCATGCTGCACAAGAACTCTGACGAAGCAAGGAGGCAGCAAGCTCGAGGTGAAACTGGAGTCGCAATCATCACGGATGCTCAGGCTGAAGGGGAAGACAACGAAGAAAACGCAGAGGAGCAGACAGGCAAGGAGGAGGTTCCCGAGCAGGAGGCAGAAAGGTCGTCAACTCTGCCCCCTAACAGAGATGCAAAAAAGTTGACCAACCAGTTTAACTTCAGTGAGCGAGCATCCCAGACGTATAACAATCCGTATCGTGAACACGAGACACAAACGCAGCCCCCACCGCGTACAACATTCGGCAGCGGCGTCACGCAGTGGGAAATATTTGACGCGTACGCGGAGGATTTTGCATATCAACAGCTTGAAAAGAACAAGGATAAAGCGAAGAGTATCGTTGGGCAGAAAGATGGCACCACCGTCCGCAAGAAAGTACTCACGTCCGAGCTGCAGACAAATGACATGAGTCTCGTGGCGAGAGCGGCAAAGATAGTCGAGCGAATGGTGAACCAGAACTCATATGACGAGATCGCACAGGACTTCCGCTACTGGGAAGATATGTCGGATGAGTTCAGAGAAAATGAAGGAACACTGCTCCCTTTATGGCGCTTTATCACTGACTGCACCAAGCGGCTGGCCGTTACGTCGGTTTGCTGGAACCCGTTCTACGACGACTTGTTCACTGCCAGCTATGGCTCCTATGACTTCATGATGCAACCGAAGGGATGCATATGCTGCTTCAGCCTGAAGAACCCATCCTTCCCGGAGTTCAGCTTCAAGACCAATTACGGGGTCATGTCCATCGACGTGCATCCGTCCTACCCGCACCTCATCGTTGCTGGCTGCTACGATGGCAGCGTCGCTGTCTACAACTCGAAAGTGTCCTCGGAGGCAATTCACTGCAGCAATGCCGAGACGAAGCACTCGGATCCGGTCTGGCAGGTCAAGTGGCGCTCGGACGACCTGGATGGCAACCTCACCTACGTGTCAGTGTCGTCGGACGGCCGAGTGTGCGTGTGGACAGTCGCCAAGAGCGAGCTGAGCTGTGCAGAGGTGATGCAGCTGATGGTGTACGGGGTAGCGGGCGATGGGCCGGATGGCACCCGGCTGCAGACGCTTGGCAGTGGCACGGCGATCGACTTCCACCCGGAGCACGAGCAGACGTTCCTCGTTGGCACCGAGGAGGGTCGCATCTTGCTCTGCTCGCTGACCCATCATAGCCACTACCTCGGTGCCTTCACCGCACACCAGATGTCGGTCTACCGAGTTCAGTGGAACCCGTTCCATCCCGACGTGTTCATCTCCTGCAGTGCCGACTGGAGCGTTAAGATCTGGGAGCGCGCGCACACAGAGCCGCTCTTCACGTTTGACCTGAAGAGCGCTGTCGGCGACGTCGCGTGGGCGCCGTACTCGGCCACCGTGTTCGCCGCCGTCACGGCCGACGGCAGAGTGCACGTGTACGACCTGAGCGTGAACAAGTACGACGCCGTCTGCTGCCAGACGATCGTGCACCGGCGCAAGACGAAGCTGACACGCCTCGCGTTCAACCGCCGCACTTCAGTGGTCGTCGTCAGCGACGACCGCGGCGCTGTGGCGAGTTTCAAGTTGTCGCCGAACCTGCGTCGCGCGCCGCGTGACAAGAAGGGCCAGGAGCTGACGAGGAGTGCAGAGGCCGAGGTGGAGAAACTTGAACGCATTCTGCAGGTCGTCCGCGAGAACCCGAAGACCAGCAGCCTTTCGTTGGCCACGTCAGCCGTGCAGTGGTCTAACAGGGCTCGGAAGAAGTTTTGAATGTGATCAGGCTCTGCTGCTGTAGCTTGTATCGCGGGTGTGTATTTGAACTACAGGAATTGGTCTTTATTTCACATTATTGTAATGAGCTGTATTTTGTAAAATTTTAATTGTTTAAGTATATTTTGCCTCAAAATAATTTTATTACATTATCGAGTCGTATTACATTATTGCGTAATACCTACTACTATATATATATATACGTATATATGTATCTGTAGAATGGATTCCTATCTGTGAAATAAGGTCATGGTCTCCCTTGAGTGGCCCTTGCATGCAAGTCAGCTATATGCTCATCAGGGGTGACTGATCTTAAGATCATTCACCTTGACGATCTGCAGCGGATATCCGCGCGAAGCGCTCAAACGCCACGTAGTGGCGCACTTACTCAACATCGCTGCCTTTTACCCAACGCAAGTAGCACTTACTCAACATCGCTGCCTTTTACCCAACGCAAGTATCGCCGGTCCTTTCAGGAGAGCAGGAAGCCGGCTTTTCGCTCTCATCGGCAGTTCTGCGCATTCCACGAGGGATCGCACTACCCAGTTAGGTAGAGCCTGGCTAGAAAAGCTGCCAATTCTTTGTTCGTTACTAGGCGCGCTTTCTTTGCTGTAATAACCAGCATATTTAGTTTGACAAATAGGCCTACTGAGCATGAGCGAGGTACAGGTTTTATTTCATCAATATTCGGTATAACGTTGATATTACTAGGGACTATGCCATTTTTAAGAATATGCTGATCTCTAATCTCTCTCCTGCGAAAATACTTATAATAAATACCTGCAGTCATTTCACACAGGGTATTATGAACGTAACGCTAGTTTTCTGGCAGCTGCTCAGCTGTTAATTACTCACTACTTGCGCGGTCATTCATCATCTATATCATGCATCCATCCATCAATCCATATATAGGCACTATATTAATATAATATATACATATATATATATACATTATATATATATATATATATTTATCTCTTTTCACCCTCATCACCTATGATTACTCTCTCTCGCTCACTTCTCTCTTCTCTCTCTCTCTCTTTCTCTCCCCTCCCCCCTCTCTCTCTCTCTCCTCTCTCTCTCTCGCTCTCGGTCTTGCTCTTCTGCCCTTTTTCTCCTCCAACATCTTCATAACTCACGCGCTCTTTCTCCCCCTTGTTCTCTCTTTCCCCACTCATTATCTCACTATCTATCTATATCTATCTCATCTGTATCTATCTATCTATCTATCTTATATCTATCTATCTATGCTACCATAGTCTAGGTCTTATCTATCGGTATATATTCTTTCACATCTATTCTTAATTTCTATCTATCTATCTATCTATCTATCCCATCTATCTATCTAATCTAGTCTATTCCTATAATATATATTATTATTATATATATATATATATATTATTATATCTTTATGTTCTATCTATCTATCTTCTATCTATATA